GGGGATCAAGGAGTTGTATTGGTATGAGGTTTGCACTAATGGAGGCTAAAGCATGTTTAGTGAGTATATTGAGGAAGTATAGGTTTGAAAGATCACCTGATACTCAGGTTAGGTTTATTGAACTGTGCTTGTGTTTATTCATTGTATTGCAGGTGCCATTGCAGCGGAAATTTAGCCTCACACAATCTCCAAAGAATGGGATATATTTGAAACTTATCAAAGTTTAGAAGAGTTACATCCTATCCCATATAATCATAAAAAATTGCTTGTTAACAGTTATAATAACTATAGTTTTAATGAGTTTTTTTAGCTTTTCTAATGCACCTATTATTTGCTGCAAACAATAATTAATTTGATCTAAAAGAATTTTAAGAATTCATAGATTAATGGGTGTGTCTAAATCTATCAGTGAATCAGTGAAATTCTTAATAATGTGGATCATTCTTTTTTCTCTTGCTTCTCTGCTTCTACTCTATTGCTGGTACTTGTAAGTGAGGATCAGTTAACTTTATTCTTGTATTATCTTTGTTTGTTTGTCATTCATTTACTAGTTTTTGTTATGCTCCTTACCGAGTTCTCAAGAGACTTGGTATCACTCATCCTCCAGTGAGGCCTTTCATGGGAAATGCATTACAAGTATTGAAACTGGTAAACCAGAAACTGGGGGAGATTGGGTCAAAATGTTGTTACTATACAGGGGCGTATCCAGGGGGGGTGCTGAGGGTGCTTGAGCACCCCCCAGGCTGGACTCAGAAAAAATTACTGAAGTTCTGGACTATTGCATCACTACCAAGCCTCTTATTAAAGTTATCAAGCACCCTGATTATGATTTCAGCAGTTTCCAGTCCTTCAAAGAGTGATCAAAAGTACCAGATAGAAATGATCTTGACTCCACCTGTAAATGCCGTAATTGACAAAAAATGAAGAAAACGCCGTTTTAACCCCTAAATATTGGGCGTGGCCAAAATCGCAGCGCGCTTTGTGCGCCTTCTAATTTCCTTCCTTGTTATATCATAGATACTACATGGTTGCATTCTGTACCCCAACACCCCCCTTTCCAAATTCCTAGATACGCCCCTGCTATAGTATTGATATGTACATGCGAATCTAGCTGCATGATAATTTATTAAATAGTCAATTTAGCTCATTAAAATTAGATCTATAATTCATTTCACAAAACTGCTTTGTTGTTGTGCATAAAATTGTGATAAATAGACTGCATTTCTTTGTTTGTATGTAGGGGTATAATGATCTTCTGACCAAATGGATCAATGAGAACGGAAAAGTATTTGGGTAAGCTAGTATCATGCTAATTTAGTAATTTAGTAACTATTAGTGTAACTATGTCATTATAGCAAACACAAAGTTTTATCTATTTTTGTGGAATACATGTACCTTAAGCCTACTATTATTTGCGTCTACTAATT